ATTGCTGGCATTTTATGTATTAGTATATCATCAATAAGCTCCTGTGTTGACCACTGTCATCCTTGCATTGCACTTTGTCTGCACTGTTGGGTTGTAATGCAGTACAAAGTAATGCATTATAGTAATGTAATTACTTTTTCTTGTAACAAACAAGTGTAAAGGTTGGTATAGTGTAATGGATCATATTGCTGCCTTCCATGCTCACCATAGCTAAACTTATAAGAGCCCTTGGGCAAGACTCCTAACTGTACATTCACCTACCTCTGTAACATGATTAAGCTGTAAGTCATCTGTCAAATGTGAAAAAGTAGAGTAACCCATTACAAACACTTAATTTCTTACAGTGAAATTACAATTACTGACTTAATAAGAATTTAGTGATTTGGGGTAAGCACATGTGCAATATTAATAATGCACTGTGCATGAATTACTCATACAATGTAAAGAGTAGCTGTGTTAACAAATTTAAGTTCTTAAAAAATATGAAAAAAGATGAATGAGGTTTTGATATGACAAAACATAGTATAGTATAGTGAAGGAAACAACAGAGAGAATGTATCCCAAATAATGTTTCATACGACAGTGACAATATGCATACACACACGCTTGCTTCTCTATGCCCACTCATACATACACATACACACACAATTGCATTCCATCATTCTCCATCCGCATCCACACACATATTTTCCTACATAACCACCACCGTCTTGCTTCACCACAATGACAGGGTTTCCCCGCCGCTAATTGTAGACTACAAATCCAAACTTTTGTGGTAGAGGTTTTACAGGAGTTGTAAGTGTGGCTTAAGGCAGCAAGTCCAGTCTTTCATGTGTGTCTGGGCTGTGAGGAACAAAGCTAACCCAGAGCACCAACAGGATAAGAGATAAGAGCTATCATTACTTCTGACCTGTACGGGGAAGGTGATCTCTCTGGCTCTCTGTAACACCCACACAAACACACACTGGTTTTTGTACTTTGTCAGGATGTGGGGTCAGAATACATATGGTATGTATATGTAGGTACCTCTAAGTAATAATACATCCCCTATGTTTCACATCACATGTAAGTACCTATATGTAATGATAATATTTCCCATATGTATTGTATATATTAGCACCTATATGTAATAATAGCCCATATATGTAAAATGTGTAAGTACTTATATGTAATAAGAAGCTAAACCTAACCCTATACCTCATCCTAATCTTAACCTTAGGACCTGAAAATGCAATGGCTTTGCTTTTTCAGGTGAAAAAAACATATGAAGTTTTTCATAAAAAGCACTTTACAAAATAAGAGGAATTCTTTTTGGTCAGTCCAGTTGTTCTCTGGATTTACAACAAAATGATGCTGTTTTTGTCCTAAAAATAAATGCAAACACACACAAACTTAAATGGGATGAGTGCAAAGTCCTAAGCAGGCCAAAATAAGACGTGCGTTCTCTCCATTGTCAGTAATGCACCTTACAATCAATTATAATTACAGTCATCAAACCCAAAGGCATCCACATGAAATCAATTCATAATGGTGACAGGGGTTACCAGCAGAAATCAATAGGCCTATGGGAATGGAATATTATATTGTATCAAAAAGCCTCGGAGCAAACACAAAAGTGTAATTCACTGTGGCAATCATGTTCATTTGATCCATGTATAAGTTTCCCACATAGAGTCATAAATCATTTTTTCTATATGTGTGTGTCAAATGTGAAACGTTTTAAAAGAGGCAATTTGTTGAATACACTCAATCGTAGCAGTGAGACAATAGCTAACACATGGGTTGAATTTCTCTAATGAATTGCGCACATACACATAAATGCACACACACACGTAGTAGGCACGGATGTTTTTGTTTGACATTCTTTGCAGGAACCGACTGACTTATGGGTGAGTTAAGTGTGTGCACGCATGTGTGTGTGTGTGTGTGTGTGTGTGTGTGATGTCAGTAGGCGTTGGCTGCGGTCATTGGGGAGATTCATGGTCCTATGGGCCAGTTTTAAAAGCCATTTAGCACAAGCGCACTCAATGAGCTGAAAGCCATAAATCCAGTCTTTAAACCAACACGCTCCTCCTTCTAGCCCACACACTACACCCCAGCACCACATTCTAATGCCCCATTCTCCATTACTCCCCAATAAACTACATTCTAATTCGGCTATACTCCATTACTCTTCAATAAAATTCATTCTAATTTCTCTGTACATCTTTACTCTCCAATATACTACATTCTAATGCCCCTATTCTCCATTACTCTCCAATAAACTACATTCTAATTCGGCTATACTCCATTACTTTCCAATAAAATTCATTCTGATTTCTCTATACATCTTTACTCTCCAATATACTACATTCTAATGCCCCTATTCTCCATTACTCTCCAATAATCTACATTCTGATGCCCCTATTCTCCATTACTCTCCAATAAACTACATTCTAATTCGGCTATACTCCATTACTCTCCGATAAAATTCATTCTGCGTTCTCTATACATCTTTACTCTCCAATATACTACATTCTAATGCCCTTTTCCTCCGCTGATCTCTAATATACTACATTCTATTGCCACTATTCTCCATTAATCTCCAATAAACAACATTCTAATGTCCCTATACTCCATTACTCTCCGATAAACAACATTCTAATGTCCCTATACTCCATTACTCTCCGATAAACAACATTCTAATGTCCCATACTCCATCCCTCTCCAATAAACTATATTCTAATGTCCCATACTCCATCCCTCTCCAATAAACTATATTCTAATGTCCCATACTCCATCCCTCTCCAATAAACTACATTCTAATGTCCCATACTCCATCCCTCTCCAATAAACTATATTCTAATGTCCCATACTCCATCCCTCTCCAATAAACTATATTCTAATGTCCCATACTCCATCCCTCTCCAATAAACTATATCTAATGTCCCATACTCCATCCCTCTCCAATAAACTATATTCTAATGTCCCATACTCCATCCCTCTCCAATAAACTATATTCTAATGTCCCATACTCCATCCCTCTCCAATAAACTATATTCTAATGTCCCATACCCCATCCCTCTCCAATAAACTATATTCTAATGTCCCATACTCCATCCCTCTCCAATAAACTACATTCTAATGTCCCTTTATTCCATTAGTCTCCAATAAAATACATTCTAATGCCCCATACTTCATTACTCTCTAATAAACAATATTTTTATGTCACAATACTCCATTTTCTCTAATAAACTACATTCCAATGCCCCTATACTTCATAACTCGCCAATAAACTGTTCTGATGCCTCAATAACTGACAATAATCCCCCAAACTGCATTTCATTCTGCAGTCTAATGCCCTTACACCAAATATGAATGCCCATATGCTCAGTACATTCCAATAAATGACATTCTCATGCCAATGTACTCCATTACCCTCCAATATACTACATTGTAATGTCCCTAAACCTCATTATATTCAAATGAACTACATTCTAATGCCCCATACCCCATTACACACCATTAAACTACACTGTAATGCTAAAATACTCTAATATTATTCCTCAATAAATTACATTCTAATGCCACTATACCTCTTGACTCTCCAGCAAACTACATTCTAATGCCACTATACCTCTTGACTCTCCAGCAAACTACATTCAAATGCCCCTATACACCTCTTCTCTAAACCCCAATATAATCCACTAAACTACATTCTAATGCCCCATGCTATACTAGTTTACACTCCAACAAACAGCATTCTAGTGCTTCTATGCTCTATTAAACTTCAATTCTCTACATTACAATGCTTCTATACCTTATTTCATTCCAAAATCTTTGTTCTCCATGACTCTCCAACTATATTCTAATCTACATTGTAACACTCTATACCCTTCTATACCTAATAAACGGCATACCAATGCCTGCACAATACAATACAATGCATTTGAATGTCCCATGGCCTAACACATCCCCAAAAAAACTACATTCTACTTCCTAAATATAACCCTACTCCAACCTAGCACGCTACATTTTGTTACCCTATACACCACTATAAGCCAACATACTTCTTTTAACCCCATTATGTCCCTCCAGATTACATACTACTGCCACCTTTACCCCATCACACCCTTACACCCTCACTCTAATGCCCCCATACCCCATTTCAGTCTAACGTATTTCACATCATGCCCACACCCATCCAACCAAACCAATTAGTGCTCACTTCTGTGATCATGGAAATTAATAAAGAGCTAGAGAGAGAGAGACAGAGAAAGAAAGAGAGAGAGAGAAAACAAGCTGTGAAGTGGTTGACAGCCGCATTGTTGGGCTGTTCTATTGTCGACAGCTCCAAATTCCCCCCTCCCTCCCTCGCTCCGTCTCTCCTAAATCCCACTGTCCGAGAGACATGCAAACAAAAGCACAACATCTTTCTGGCAGTGGGGTGAAGCGTAGCCCCCTCCCTTCCTCTGTTCTTTCTCTCTTTCCTTCTCTGTCTATCCTTTTTTCAACCTACCCTTCATATGCCCATGTCCTGAATTTCAGATTATACGCTAAATGCTTATTTTATGGCCAAAAAACACAGGTAGACAGAAACAAACAGGTCACAACAAAAGCTGCGGGCCTTTTTTGTGGCTTATCCCGAAACACGCTGGCTTTCGAACCCAGTTTTCTCGTCTGTCCTGCTGTCCCTTGCGAGTGCACCGCTCTCTTTACACAAACACACACTGCACATCAGGAGAAAAAGACCACTCCACATTACACAGATGCACCAACTCTTTGTTTTGCTCATATGGCAAATAAGGTATAGGCAATGTGGATCCAACAAAACACACCTACATGGCCCGCAGCCTACAGTCCAGTAACCCAACTGTAGCTTGGACAGTAGTAGACATTGCTTCCGGTGATTTCTGAAAAATCTCGCTAACCTAACCATGTCTGTATACTGCTGTGTGAGCGTGTGTGTGTGTGTGAGTGTGAGTGTGAATTCCCGCTGTGTGTGTGTGTCAGTGTGTTACCTCAGCAGCAGTTCCTCAGTGGTCCTCATGGTGACGGGGTTGGTGGTGGTGGTGGGGTAGCGCATGCTGTCCACACACACAGTGGGCACAAAGCCTCGCTCGGACGAGTGTTCCAACATCGTTGTAACTCAACACACACGCGCGCGCATACACACACATACACACGTGCACCGCGCACACACACGCCGACGGTCCTCGCGCTTTTCAACTGTGTCCGTGCGCACGCTCGGTCCAGTCTTTCTCTCTGTCTCTTGCTCACACTCGAATCCCACCAACAGTCTCTCTCACTTGCTTGCTCGCTCTCTCTGTTGTAGTGCTCCCACACACTCCCCCCACCCGTCAACCCTCTGTCTACCCCTCCCTCTCTCTCTCTCTCTCTCTCTCTCTCTCTCTCTCTCTCTCTCTCTCTCTCTGGCTCGCTCGCCCTCCCTCCCTCGGTCTGATTCACTGGGCTGAAATAACCCTTTCTGACAGCTCATGTTGTTGTGGGCCGGCGCTAGCACAGCTAGTGTGTAGTGCTCGCTAGAACCGTGTCGCCTGCTGTTGCCCCGGACAACCCGGACTTCTGAGGAAAGCGACTGGCCTCCCTCTGCTCAGTCCAGCCTAAAAGACTGAGCATTCTAAAATTCTAAATTCTGGACATTAGAACATTGTACAAATTAGTAACATTGTACATTATAGCTTTTAATCACTGACCATTGTAAAATTTAAAAATTCTAAAACTTAACTATTGTAACACTGTACCTTCTAAAAAGATAAACTAAAACTCAAACTTTCCTAAATGACTAAATTGTTATCTTATTGTTATTGTCATTTTAAATTCTAACTCTAACACTGTATATTCACTCATTCTGCATTTCATATTCTAAAATGATCAGATTCTAAAATTCTTATATTGTAACATTGTTCATTCAAGAAATATAACTTTCTAACATCGCATCATTGTAACATTCAAAAATGCAAACTCTAACATTGTTTATTTGTGCATTTCACACTGCATATTTTAAAATTATGATTCAAAATTACCAGATTTTTAACCAAAGTTTTAATGTTGCGTATTGCAAATTTGAATGTTGTTCAATTGTACCTTCTAAAAACTTCTAAAAACCCTAACTTACTGATTGTACGTATTGTATTCTGCTGTTATAATGTTCTAAAATTCTACATGTACATTCTACATTGCACATTCTAAAATTATACAATTCTATCAGGTCAGGTTCTAAAATTCTAATGTAAAAGTGTAAGTATATACTATATGTAGTATATATGAATATATTCAAACTTGCACATTCTAACAGTTTTATTGAATATTCAAAAATTCTAATATTCAAAAGGTTAATTGTGCATTCATCACTGCATTCTGTTCTACCTTGCATTTTGTAGTACATTCTAATAGAAAACTCTGTACAGTAGATAGAACAATACTGTAGACCTTATGTATTCTGAGATGGATGAGATTTATAGCCATTTTCCCATAGTGCCATTGTATATGCAAATCAGTTTAGGGTTAGTGATCTTTTCTTTAATGTTTTACAGTATCATTCTATGTGCATGAAAGGCTTAACTGTCTAATATAACATGAACTATGTAACACTCATGCAGTTTTTTTGATAATTATGTCCCCCAAAAGAATAATTGGTAATAAAGTGGTAATTAGAAATGGCCATATGTCTGTGTTCCCTGTGTGAGCTTCCATAGTCCACATTTCATCTGACTGAACACACTAGAGAAGCAAAAGGTCCTCAACCTGCTGTGCTTCTATTTATAGTAAAATCTGGGAAGTTTGTTTGTTGCCAGTTCGTTTGATGTCAGTAGACTCATGGCCTTTCTCCCAACACAAGTGGACAGAAGGTAACATACTGAGTTTGTCTACAAATGCTGCAATCACTCTTCACCATGCTCAGACCAGACTTAGGTAAATGAGAAGACCTGTCAGGTACACATGAATAAAGAAAGAAAAGGATGCCACTGTATTTCTTTTTCTGTGTTGTAATATTTTAACATCCACAATTAAGTGAATTTACCACATTTTACATAATTTGCAGAGAATATATTACACTTATATGTTGCAATGTATCCTTCACTCAATATGTAATTAGATGTATTTATGCATTTATATGTGCATCTATTGCCCATTATAACTACAGTAGAATTAAAGCTTGCAGTTTTAGCTACAATGTAAATTGCAGTTAATATAAACCTCTCTCAGGTATATCATATTCTGGAGTCCTCACTGAAAAAAAAATAATTTATTGAACTGATTTGATTCAAATACGCACATAATTTTGCACACAAATATAATACATTACATCAGTAAAGTTTTGTCTCTCAGTTTACTTTTGGCAGTTATTGTTGTTGATGCCATGGGGAATCCTTAGAGCTTTTCAGACCTTCAGAGGAGACCTGATGAAATCTGGGGCCTAAATATTCATGTCTGAAGGTATTAGTTCATATTTATTACTTGGAATTGTCATGTTTGTTGTAATTACACTCTGCAATGTACTGCAGTACAACTAGTTTTTCATTGTTAAGTTTTGGTCGTAAAATAAATAGATTTAAATCTTGAAAGGGCAGATGTGAAATTGTCCGATAAGGTTTTTTTTTTCCTCTGTAGTGTCTGTGTAGATAAAGCCAAGCCAAGCCAAGCGCAAAGCTCTCCTGTTGGTTAGGACTTCAGGAGTTAGACAAAAGTGGAAGTGGAATTAACCAATCACATTTGGATTTTTGATGTGTGGGACCAATTATTCACTCTAGACTAATAATACACCAGTGTTAGCTCAGCGCTAACATAGAGGTAGAAATCCCATAGCGGTGCAACAGAAATTAGCATTCTTGGAGGAAGGAACTGAGGGCCTAATGCTAGTAATTATTATTCTCCACTGCACGAATGTAGTATACTTTATTCATGTGCAAAAGATGTACATATCAAATTTAAATTAAAATTTGTACACAAGTAAATGTAATGCCCTTTACAGTGTCTAAGAATTTATCTACTATTGTGGGATATTCTAGGCAGATGCACAAATGAGACCACCCAGGCTAAGTGAGTGGCCTGCTTAGTGTCCTGAGTCTGTCAGTCCTCAGTGATGAAGCTGGGCCTGTTTCCCAGAGATCCGATGTCTGTTGTTGCTGACACACAAACAGTAGGCAGTTTTGACAGACAAAATCAGAAACTACATGAAGAGGCTTAACTTCCTGGGGAGATGTGTCTGTTTTGATCGTCTGGCAATGAAAAAGAATGAATGGGGGCGTATTGGAGGGAGCAGCAGCGCTGCATTACCTGAAAATAACCTCAACTGTCATTGTACTTTCTTTTCACCATCTGTTTCTCCTCCCTCTCCTCTTTCTCTCTCCCTTTAATGTCTCCAATCTTTTCCAGCGTCTCTCTCGTTCATGGCTTTTTTGCTCTCTTCCCAATGTCTCCTGGGTCTTCTTTTAAAAAATGCGTCATGTTTATTATTCCGTATGAATGTTTCATTGCCGGAGAAAACACAGCAGTGGATCAAGGGAGCGATTCGTTATGGGATGGAATCCAGCGCAGCACCCCACATTCAACTTGGCTAAGATCATTTATATCAGTTGCAATATGGCCAAAGTCGTTTGGTTCTCGCAAAACACCTGCTATCCTGCTTTTTTCCCCAGCCATTAAAACGTCGTCCCAACCTGCCAATTAAAATGGAGACGCTCATCCTCCAATGACCTACTTCCTTTTAAAAAACAAGTTGTTCGATTTTGTACTCCTGGTTTTTGTCTTTCTGTGTTTTTTTTTGTTCTAACAGTTACAGATTATTCTCTAAGCGCTATGCTATGAAGAGTTTCGGAGCATTAGCGAGAGAGTGTGGTATATTTCCAGCACTTATTTCCTGGCACAGCACAATTAAGTGTCACATTCCAGCAGAGCTGTCTCAGATGTGCATATTGTTATATATGTCTCAGTGGGCTCACTGACGATCGAGAAGCAGTTTTCATAATCAAAATCATAATCAATTTATTGGCTTGCACGCACAAGCAATTTGGTGTTTTAGTGAACTGGTCTTTACATAAACAGACAACACTGAGTACACAGAAGTTCACAAATAAATACAAATACAATACAGAGCCACCACAAAATATACTTATCCAGAGTATGTAAACTCAGGGGTGTACAGCAGTATAAACCAGGCGCGCTATGACCACAACAGGCGCAAATGTGCACAACAGGACAGGCACTAATCAGTATGTGCAAAATAAATAAGTATCTGAATCTATGGATTTTTATGAAAAATCATAAAAATAAAAAATAAAAATGTGTTTTCTAAAGTTCCAACACTATAACATCATATATTTTGAAAAACCCTATCACTACAACATTACATAATAAAATTCTAACACTGTAACACCGTATATGATTAATATCCAATGCTGTAAAATAGTGTATTCCAAAAATTCTAACACTGTAACACTGTATAATATAAATTTCAAATACTGTAACACTGTATACGCTCAACTTCTAACACTATTTTATATTTTCTAATACTGTAGCATTGTATATTCTAACAGTGGAATTTTATATATTACAGAATTTAATCACTGTAACATTGTACATTCTAAAATTCTCATACTGTAACTTTGTATATCGCTGTTGTCGGAACAAAACCTCGTATCTCCATTGTTGTTTTTTCAGTTTTTGACATCATTTGAAAGTGCCTGTTGTGCTTTATATTGTGTAAATTTTATAATGAATGGATCAAAAGAAATGGTCCAAAATTACTTTGAAAAAGGTCTGGTTCCATTGACTTACATTAAAATAAAGAATGTTTTTTGCTTCTCCTGAAAAATTATCAGTTTGGATATACAAGGTTTTGTTCCAACAGCAGTGGTATCCTAAAATTCTAACATTCTTGATCTAAATGAATGCTGATCTGTGCTCTGATAGCGAACTGAGTCAGAAGCAGCGCTCATCCCACAATGCTTTGCAAAGAAAACTTTAGCTGGAGGATGGAGCCACTGTTCCAAAATGTCCCTTTAGTGCATCTAGTGGGTGAATTTGGCTTACGCAGTTAAAAAACTGTACAAGCCACGCAAGGCTTCACACACAGCACAAATGGAAGGCAAAGTGTGTGTGTGTTTGTGTGTTAGAGCGAGAGCGAGAGAGAGAGAGAGCCAGATGATGCTGTGTAAAACGTGTGAGACAGGCTTCACTGTCACAGCACATCTCCCTCACCAGTGCCAACAAATCTACCTCTCTCTCTCTCTCTCTCTCTCTCTCTCTCTCTCTCTCTCTCTCTCTCTCTATCTATCTATCTCTCTCACTTTCTAATGAAAGCTTGTCTGAGGGAATGTAATGGCT